GGCTTAGGTTCACACATGAAGTTGTATTATTAAAAACCAGGGGACGGATCCGCGTCCATCACCTGCCACTTTCACCTGCGGGCGTCAATCACGCTCGGACGTGCGTCGTTTTCCCCTGACACGACACTTCTACCTGATTGGTCCATCCTTGGCTGAGGGGCGGGCGCTCCACGGCCTCTGCTGAAATGCCATTGGTCGACAGGCGGCTTGGTTGACGTGACGCAGCTTGGAATTCCCAAAGTTCCCAAGTTCACAGGGAGAGAGGAGCGTTGTTTCTTGCTTAAAAAAAGAAAAACAACCCCCAAAAAACGTTGTGAAGACAAAAACAGCGAGCGACTGAGGTGTTAGCAAGTGGGGTAAATAAACCGTCTTCTTTGTTTTTAATTTGTCGGAGTCGAGCAGGTGTTTGAAGCGCTCGCTAACAGTTTTGGGCCCGAGTGAGAACGCGGAAGAGTGGGAGTGGGAATATTTCAGCCTACCATCCTTTGTTTACCATCATGAATGAACCTTTAATTCGGTTGCTACAACAACCATAGCCCCCTTTAAATTTCGCTCCCTTGCATGTGCAAAACAGAAGCTCAAGCGAGCACATTGCTGCCGACAAGTGAGTATTAATCTTTTGTTTGCTCGGATTCTGGATCAATGAACTGCTCGTGTCTTTTTTTTTTTTTTTTTGAGGGGGGTTTTGACCATTTTTGGTCATTTAAACTGCACACAGATTGAGTGGATGGATGGATCTGAATGAACGGTCGGTTGGAAATAGCAGAGGCGATGAATGCGATGAGGAGATTCCTGTTTCTCCTGACCAAAGCGTTTGTTAAACTGCGCAGTAGTGTATTATGGATGCCACCACACCGTTACATAACTTGTATCAACGACAATCTGGTCTTTATCCCTTGCGTGCGGTGAATTAGGTCCCAAATTGCAACGTTATTGAATAATTGTGTCCCCTTAGATCATTATTTACACGCCAGGATCATAATACTGCAGAAAAAACGACACAAAATTCGTCAGTTTTTGTATTATTTTCATGTTCAGAACTGTGCATACTCATAGTTTTGCATATTAGCCTCCATTTATCTACACTAATAACCAAGTTACACTCATACTATTACATCTAGATAAGCCTGTTGCCTCCACACAAGACGTGCAGTGTATGCATCATGCATGTTCAATGAAGACACGTTGTTTCTGTCGTCGTCTGCAGAATAGCATAAAGCCGAATCTGCACCGTGCTGTGCCAAGTCGAGCCAGAAGAGGGCGATGTCTGACAACAGCCACAGCACAGGCAGCAGTGGCTCCTCAACCAACAGCTGGACCCTCCTCTCCCCCGAGGTAAGACAGAGAGAACCAGCTCAGGAAACTCTGCTTCGAGCTCTGTGTGCCTGGATAGAGTTTGGAGGATGGATGTTTTCCTGGCTCATGAATACAAGCTGAAATATGGCTCGTCTGTTCTTGCACCCCCAAAAGCTTCCCATAATTATGAAATTGTTGACAAATGTTTGTGAAACACTGATAGTGACAGTTGGAATGTGTAAAGTGTGTTTTTTATGAATGTGTGAGCCATTGACTTATCTGTTCTTCCACAGCTATTTCGTGTTGTTTTGTGTTGTTTCGTGTTGTTTTGCATGTTTCGTATTTTGACTCTTCGTGCAAGTATTTGTGCATGACTGTATGTTTGTGATAAGAAAGGGCATTAAGGATATACATATTTATATTGTAATTACTAGAAGATCCTCCTCAGATATCAATATATACTTAATTATCAGTTTATTAGGTGCTAAATATCTAAAGACTCACTAAATACCTAACTCTAATGCAGTCTAATGTAACAGCCCTGTAATAAATCCTTCCTTTATGAAGGTTATAGTGTTCAGTTTTGGTTGAACTGTAATGGTACTTTTGGAGCCTCTATAATGTGGTGTTGTTGAATATCATTATCTTATACTGAGAGGTAATATTTTGTTCATCCCATTTATATCAATAAGGGTGGACTAAATATGACAGTTGAGTATATAATGTTAATAATGGAGAATTATATGTCAGCATCTACAGTCACATTTTATAATGGATGTTTAATGTGGGGGTCTAACTGTAAATTGTATTATCCAGTGAAATCATTATAGGAGAAATCGGACTCACTGTCTACTTTATTGTTAATCAAGACAACAACATCACAAGATAAAAACAGAACCCCAGGATTCAATTACAGTGATAGATGATAAACAAGAAATATCGATATGTTTCCGAGCCCAGGCTTGTGTGCATGTGCAGGCATGCCTGTATTGGGTGTGCTGTAAATGTCAAGGTCGGTGTTACCATTGAGCCTACTGTAGCTGGTGAAGCCTGATCTCCTGGGATCTTCTCTCATTCCACAGGAGGCTGCTATTGAGAATGTCGGGCCGGTGGACGACGGCACCGAGAGCCTGGGTGATGTTCCGAGTCTCTCTGAGGAGGTCACAGGTATTGACGAGTCAAGATCTGTGGCTGCTGGCAAGGGTTGTGACATAAAATCAACATTTAAGGCCAAAGAGGTTGCTTTTAAACTTATTATTTGGTTTCATATTTATAGTTTTGACATTGTGTGAATGTTATTTCAGGAGCTGCTATGGAGTTCAAACCAAGTGACATTTCAGTAGAAACTGTCCTCTCTGAAGAAGGCCATCAGGTTGGTACACAGTAAACCATGTAATAATCCAGTTGTTAATAACTTAATAACATAACAATTAATAACAATTAAACAACGTCATTATTAAGAGGACGAAAAGCCCCCTACAACATATTTACATTATTATAACCAGCTATTGATGATGTATTATTGTGCCCACGTGTAGACAGTAGCTGCAGTCGGGTTTGACAAGACTTCAGATCTATAACAACAACTTTATTTACCTGCCTTTGTTACCAGTACCTCAGAATGAATAAGAAGCGTGACTACCATTTCTGAAATGTGTCATACGAGTTGTAGAGATACACTGAAAGTAGCCTCAGTGGAATGTGGTGCTTTTAGTCACATCAGGTGGAAAAAAACATCCTTAGTCGCATTCTGCCAATCCCTACGCATAATACAAATTGAGAAGTTGAGACCTGTTCTCTTGAAATTGTCAAACGTCACAGCATAGGAAGTCATCAAATGAAAGAGAAGTACTGTAGACAATAGATTGAAAATGGATGCACAAAAAAACAAAATCATAGCACTTGACGACACCCTGATTGCAATGAAGATCACAAATAGACATTAAAGTATAAATATAATCACAGATAACCTTTTTCCTTACTGCCCCAATTTCTAGGTGTGTCAAGAGACATCTCCAGACTCCAGTGAGGGTCCCATTCCTTCTAGTCCAACCGGGATGAGTCCTCTTCCACTCAACCCCCTTGACCTTCCAGACCTGGACCAGGAGAGTCAGCCTCCAGTCATCCATGACATTGTAACCAGCTCTCCCAGTGACAACGAGCACCTAGGACCCACACCTTTTGTCACCAACATTGATTTGGGGGCTCCACTCGATATTCCCGCTGCTGAACTCCTGCCAGCTGAACTTGAGGAGTCCTGCTCCGCTCCTCCCCTGACTGCGATCCCTGTCTCTACAGAACAAGTGCTTGACGCGCTTGCCGATATCGGGATGATTCCTGCGGGCGCTGCTGGGGAGAGTCCCGTCTTCACTGCTGAACCGGAGGTCAGCATCCCCACAGAGACCCTTACAGCTACTGATCCTCCTCCTCATGTTGAAGCTGAAATCAGCTTCACTCCAGAGGATACAGAGCCACCAAGCCAAGACCAAGAGAGCGTGGTGACAGAAAGCCCCATCGATGATAGCCCCGCACCAGAGACTGTTGGTTTGGTAGAGTCGGAGGAGGAGGAGGAGGAGGAGGAGGCAGCTGTGGATAAGGAGGAGATGGAGCCATTTGAGGCAGTGGCCCAGGATAAGAGAGAAGAAGAAGAAGAAGGTATGGGATCAATCTACAGCAATATTTATGATGATGTATGCATTATAAATCAGGCAACGGAACTAGAGTTATCGTCATTTTAAAGGAGGAAATTTAGAGGTTGCTGTGGGAATAAGGGATTATTTTGCTTTAACTTTTACTTTTTTCTCGTGAGAAATTGGATGCTTTCAACTCTTCAGGCCTTCGAAAATGCTGCTGGTTAAAAGTTGGAACCACTGCTCTAATGGATGACAGGATACTATCACACTGATTCCTCTTAAAAACATTACTTTGCTTTACTTTAACAAGACTAAGGGTCTGTTAGCTGTCCCCAGAGACAGCCATGTTCATTATACTGTACACCCCGGGGCAATTTGGCCAGTAATTGTATATCTTTCTCTGCACCAAAGTGTTGAACAAGCTGACATCACCTTATCTCCGTGCTCCTTTCTACTCGTTTAATAGTGTAACAAAACAAATGCCAGGCAGTGTGTTGTTCAACAATGGCCAAGAAAATAGAATAGAACAAAACTAGTGATAAAAATAATCCATCATTTCTGAACACCTGATCTTCCAGTTAGCTCTGCTTCTTTCGTTTCTGAAGTAAAGCCATGGCTAAAAAACCTGCTGGGGGTTTTCTCTGCTGGAAAAATATGAGCACAATATCGTCTGAAATAAAGAGGTCTTGAAGCTGTATTTTGACACAGGCCTTGATATCATGGTAATGAAGCAGGACTCCCTTTAAGGCCCTTATAAGCTCAGTTAATTTTTTGCTTTAGTTGTGCATATTTCCAAACAAAGTTACAATGGATGATATTTCCATAAAGCAACTGACACACAGTGAACATGGGGCTTTCCTTGGGGGGTCTAAGGCCCTGCAGCAGTTAACAGCTTTGCCTGGTTGGTAACTCAGCCTCGAGCAAAGTAAGTGGTTTATGGCCCTTTGTAATTAGCACTAGTTGATAGAAGAAGAAAATGAGAGTCATTTTGCTGTAGAATTGGTTAACATGTTTCTTATCTGTGTCACGCTAGCAGCTGGAAAGTGATTTATCAGTATGACAGGGAGGTGTACACCCCGCTGAGAAAATGAAGAAACCCCCATGCATGAAATTACTGTTGTTGTAATTTAGTGAGAAAATGTCATCCATTTCCACAAGCAGCTCTGACTTTTTGTCAGCCTTTTTTCTCATGCTGTTTACACACTGTTGTGTTTTGCAGTTCATGTGTTCACTTAGATTTTGGTATTTTGTGTGAAGCTGCCAGTAGATAATTATGAGTTTGGAGATAACTCTAGTTCTGACACTTTCGTAGCCAAAGATGTCGAGATGATTTGTGGAAGTGACTCGGGGGCCACATTTGAATACATGTGGTTTAACTTTAGGTGTAGCGTCATCATCTTTCACAAAAATCCACTATTAAATTTGACAACTCTGCTGTCTCTTCGCTTTTTCATGTTCAGAGTGTCCTTTTCCTCTTGTAGTTCTCCCTCCCTCAGAGCCATCCAGCAGTTTTGATTTGGGCGACACAAGCACCTTTGATGATGGAGTGAGGAGGAGGAATGCCCCCTCCTTCGAGGCACCAAGACCAAGAACATCAGATGAGGAAGATGAGGAAGAGGAAGTGGAGTTCAAGCTGGCTGAGAAAAAGGAGGAAAAGCCATGGTTCTCAATGAACAAATGCATTGTGGGTGCTCTGATCTTGCTCTTCTTAGGTTCCCTCTTCCTCTCAGGTGAGTTCCTCTCACACCTAACTAAGCCTGCTAGCTTGCTTCTGCTTTTTATAGTCAGTACTGCGAGATTAAAGCCATGCTTATAATAATTATTACCGAATAAAGATTCTTTTGTAAGAAATATCTTAAGTTTGTGTTTACTGCACATCATCTTTTAGAGATTTACATTCGCTTTTTTGATAGTGCCAGTATTTACAAATGACATAAGCACATTTATTCGCAGTTGTCAGCAACAGACAGATGTCTGTTTTTAGATCTTGTTGACTAAGCTGTACTATGTCAACAGGTTTCCTCTCTGACCTGGATAATGGTAGGTCCAGTACTGTAGATAAGACAGCAGTGTAAGCTTCTGTGCTAACTGGCTAACGCTCAATAGCTTGTCCAAGGACTTATCTGGCCTGACACTTCATGCTGTGGCAGCAGAAAATGGCAAATAACACGCACTATGAATTGTACAATAACACTCTTTATCACTGTTTGGAAGGACTCACTGGATGTTGAGCGTGCTTAAGTTGAAGGGGAAATTATGTATTGCTGGCAATTTGCTTGGTTACGCAAAAATATTTTTTGCCGAATTTTTAAAACGTCTGCCTAAATAAATAGTTTATGTGTTCTGCACAAGTAGTGCCTGAGCTTATGGGACACACTTCATCACAAAAGCATCTTATGGAGTTGTAAGACAGCTTGGCAGCTGTGTGTCAATAAAATGCCTGTTGTAAGATTTATGTGAAAGATGTTGTTTTCTTCTCCGACAGGTGACTTTGAGGCCTCTGAACTGAGCGATGCAGAACAAAGCCAGGTCTGTTACTACTGTCTTTCACTTCACTTACACAGTCTCAGTGTTATATGTTGTCCAGTATGTGCGTATAAAGTCCTATTTAAAAAACTTGAGTCCCAGAACTTAAAAGACAAATGCTAAAGATGGGATTATTTAAAAATATGTGTTTTCTTCATTTGCCAACCATTTTCAATCCAGGACTGGCTTAGCGGTGATCCACAGGATATGAAAGAGCTATTGGATAAACTGACACAGGAAAACCAACAAATCACTCAGCTAGAGGCTCAACTACAGGTCAGTATACCAGTTATATTGATGCTAATGATGTTGTTTTACCCTTTCATCATGTTTTAATGCATTGCAATATATATATCGCATGTTTTCAATAAAGATATTTGATTATTGTCCAAGTAGTGCACAACCTGGTTTTGACTACGGCACTATTTCTTTATTTCTTAGTCTCAGAAAGAAGAACTCGACTCAGCTCTGAAGGCAGTAGCAGCGAGCGGTGATGAAAATGGTAAAGCAGGTCTGGAAAAAGAAAACACAAAGCTGAAGGAAGAGCTGTCCTTTCTGCCTGAGCTGAAGAAAGAGCTGGAGAGTCTGAGGGCCAGGGTGACCGAACTCAGTCAGCTCACAGGTATAATGTGGTAAACACTGAGTGAACATTGCTGCATGTTGATATTTATTTAAATGATAATGCATATGAAAAGATACTGAGATATAAAGAGTGCTAAAAGTGACCCTATTATAATTAGCTATCAAACCCATTATAACTTTCATATATTGAATCATTCACAGCTGATCAGGAAATGCCCCCGGCTACCTCAAGCCCGGCCCCTCAGCCTGGTGAAAAAGATGCTCAGAGTAACCAGAAAGCAGCTGGACCCGAGAGGAGGAAGGACACAAATGAGGGAGGAAGGCTGAAGGAAGAGCTACAGAGGCAGAAAGTTCTTTTGGAGGAGAGCAGGAAGAGACTGCAAGGGATGAAAAAAGATGGAGGCGGCAGGAAACAAGTGAGAGATAGTTTGGAGGAGATCCAGAAAAAGCTTTCTGAACAGGTTGAGAGGTGGGGTAAGAAGAAGCCGCAGGAGTCCAAATGGAAAGGGAACAAGGGCAAAACTAATGAGCGGGACCACTGGAAGAAAGACGAAAAGAAAGAGTGGAGAGGAGAGAAAGATTGGAAGCATAACAAAGACGGAGAATGGAGGGACAAAGAAGAGAAGAAGGAGAAGGAGTGGAAGTCTCAGAAGCAAAATTCTCACAAAGAGGCATGGAGGAAACACCAGGACGAGTGGGAGAGGAAGAAGGGCGAGCGCAGAACGGACAGAGAGGAGAGGAGGAAGGAGAAACCATGGCACAGTCGGCCTGGCAAGAACTCCGACAACCATCATCAGCACCAACATCACCACCACCAGCCCCGTCAGCCTCATCAGCCCAACCAGAATGACTTCTGGAGAGACCAGGAGCAGAAGCTCAGACGCAACGTCAGCCCCCAGCTGGGTTGCAGCTCCGTGGAGGACTGCGCCGGCAAGGAGGGGCTCTACCCGGTGGAGCTGCCCGAGTTTGAGGAACTGCTGGAGGGCTACCTGAGCAAGCTTGAGGGATCTTCATCTGAGAGCAAGGACAGGATCAGGAAGCTGACTGCGGAGTTCTTCGAGGACGGCGTGTTCATCCACGACAGGGTTCTTTTCAGTGACTTTGCCGAGGACGTGGCGGACATTCTGGAGGACATTGTGGACATTTTAGAGGGCGGTGGGCAAGACGACGACTCCCTGGAGGAGGAGATGGAGGAGTTCGAACGAGAAGCCCTGTGGAAGTTTGCTGCCACAGCTTGAATAGACAAAGAGGGGGGTGGGGGTGGGGTGGGGGGGTAAAATACAACGCTAAGATGCAGCACAAGTGGTGGTTTTATAGGACATTTCTTGCCTACATTCTCCTCTTCAGAGCTGTAATTGTAGTAGCTTCTGGTACAGAGTGGTTGTGCCTCTCATAAACGTGTCCCTCTGAGTCTTTAATTATAAGCTAGACTTGTACTTTTCATTTTGGACTTAGTTGTTGTTACCTACCTCTGTCAGGTCATGCCTCCTAACGCGAAATCCTTCAGTAATGTGTTGTGTGGATTTTCCTCTGCTGTATAGTGTTTTCTCAATACGTAGTGCATGCTACAGTTCATAATATAAATTCAAACTGATGATATCCAGATCACTCACAAAACAACTGGGCTTTAAGGAGATGGCAAATAATTCTGTTGAGCAGCAGTGCAACCATTAAATATATTCATACAATTCATTAAAAAAAAAAAAATGCTGAGAAACTTTTGCGGATACCAATTTGCCTCAAGTCAGGTGTTAACTGTCCAATCCCAGAGGATAAGATCCTGGTTCAGTGATAACAATCAGATCAGGTCAGACCAGTTTCATGTCAGCAGCTCTTCGGTAGATTTGGGCAAACGCATACAGAGTGCTGTTCAAGAGCCCTAAGCATTAGGACTTCATCCTGTGACTCCCAACTGTCAGTCGAGAGCAGATGGGTGGAAACTGCCAGGAACTGGTTTGTAAAATGTCAGTGCTGCTGAAAGAAAAGCAATAGGACAAAGTGATAGCCATAGTTAAATGTATGCCTGCTAAACCACTTTAGCACTTTTCTCAAACATTCACATTTACAACAGTTTTTTTTCTTCTCACTTTTCACTTCTGTTATGTTTTTTTTTTTAGAACATTATATCTACTAATATTTTTTTGTAATGTAGCCATGGGGACCTTCATCACATGATCTACATATACTGGGTATCCCAGATCATTCAGAGTAAAATAGGTAGTGATCTCTAGTAATCTACAAACTGTTTAATTTAATGGGTTTATTCATTTACCATAAATGAGATCGGCAACCTAACTTTTCAATTTTTTCATTGTCCTCTTATTTTGTTAACAGGTTGATATCAACTGACATGCACGTGAGTGATATAGATATAGTTATTTAGTTTGAGAAAATGGCAAAATGATCTTTTTGTTTCTCAAATTTTAAGTTGAATGGCAAAAGGTAAAATAAGACAAAGTATTACAGAGCTGCTTTCCAGCGTTGGGTACTGAGATTTTGAGAAATAATTATTTGTTCTTTTGCTTTTGTTGTTTGATTGTAGTCATGTTTTATCATGAAGTTTTTTCCCTCCTTAGGTGGAGGTGAAGTTAAAGTCGACAGATTGTGATTGTTGGTTCTCATTCTTCAGCGGTTGAAAGAAGCTTTGAAGTGTTTCATGTTTATTTATTCTGTCACTACACTGCAACTCTTTTCCTTATTTTTAACAAGAAGAACCACAGACTGTGTCCAAGGCCATACACATCGAATGTGTGAAAATGGTGACGTTTTATTTTGGTTTGCAGAAATTTAGTTTGCCAGCTACTGCTTACGTGCCTTTATTATTATAAACATGTTAGATCGGACAAAAGGTCTTGGATTTCATTTGCTTCTGCAAAATTAAGAAGAAAAGAAGTTTACACTACTTACAATTGTACTGCTGCTTATATGGCAGAGAATGAATGTCATAGGGTTTACACATGAAGTGTTGTACGGATTTCTGTTAAACATTCTCTGCTGTTTATACAGAGGAGCTTTTTTTTGTTGGAAGTTTCTAGACCAAAGGGATCGGAAGAAAGCTTAATTTAAACAGATGAGTCCTTTAATTAAACACATTTATGAAAGTTGAATCAATATTTGAGAAGTATTTTTGTCTTTGTGGGACAACAGTAGGGCTCTGTGCTTACTGCTAATGTAGGAACTGGCTCCGATGTGCATGTAATTGATCCCTGTACAAATGTATTGATAAATTTGGATCATTTTTAATTTTTTTCCATCATCAGTTGTGTCCTCTGTTAGGAAGTCAGTGTTAAGTTCAATAAAATTTCCACCATTGAATATGTAAAGTTTGTCCTTATTTCATTTCAGTTGATTCATTCATGAGGAGAACATAAAAAAAAAAAGATATCACAGAATATATCCCCTACTATTAAAACGTACAATGATAGCCGGGGTGTGACTCACTCCCTGGCAGGAAGTGGAAGTGTTGGCATGACAGGCATCTATTATCGCAGCTATGATGCCAAACTAAAATATTTACATCCAGATTAAATACAGCAGCTTACACGTTCACACGCATAAACTTCCTGTCAGCCTTTACATGATACACAAACCAACCCAGTCATTGAGCTGCTTTGCTGATGAACGAGAATGTAAGCAACAGTCACAATGAAACTACAGAGAGAGCTTGTCATTCTTTGAGTTCTAAAAAAACAAGTCACCATGCAAACATTTCTGTGTGTTTTAGTACTTTGTTTCTGCATTAAAGGTGCTGATGGGTCAGCAACTAAATAGAGAAGAAAGAAATTAGGGAAGGGTACAACACTCAAAAATGTTGCTAAAATGTTAGCAATCTTTAATACCGCCAACCTCGGTTCTTAAAACGCTTTGAAATGAGACCATTTCTTTGTATATCTCTCTGGGGGTATTCCACACATTCAGCCCTGCAATTGGAAAGACTTACACATGCGACAGTGTGTGTTGTCCTGAAAGTCGTATTATTTGAGTCATGTTTTGTATAAACTAATTACTGCTTAGACAGGCATGATTCAGTCTCTTGATTAGAACGGCCTGACAAAAATGCCGTCACTAAATCCCTTGCTCTGCAAACAGACTGAAATGGGTTTTGTGCTATCATCAGTACAAATTCGCCCTTTGTATGACAGAATGGCACTTTTTTTCTGTTTTGTGTGCGTGTGTTTGTGTGTAGTTTTATGATGTGTGTCCCCAGTGTAGTGGAATACAGGAAGAGATAAGGTCAGCTGGCTGGATGGGGGAGAAGAGGGCAGGTTAAGTGTTTTCCGCTGATGTGTGCATCAGTGGTCAGAGATGAGGCATATAAATGTAGAGAGATGATAGCCATGCTCTTCAGTACAACTCTGTCTTTGACTTTGCAGCTTTGTTGAGGCTTTTCTTTCTCTCTTTATTTACTTTCCACATCTCAGCACAGACCATCATGGAAGCTGCCATCTGCACCCTCGTCACCCAGTTCAAGAATTATGCTGGGAAAGATGGGTCCTCCAGCACCCTCAGTAAGGATGAATTCCATAACCTGGTGACCTCCCAGCTACCCAACTATGTCAAGGTAAATCTCAAAAGTTGTTCAGAGCCACTTTGCCTGCTGATTGCTATCGACTTTGCATCCAGAGCTCTTACAGATAGACATTGACACTGAGGTTGTGGCTTTTTATGCAAAATTAAGGTGTCTGAAGCCTCTTAAGATGTCACTGTGCTGTTATTCAGACATATAACTGTGGCTATATGGTCTTTACATATAACTCTACTGTTATCCACCCTCATAAAAGAAATAAAAATTCTTGCTGCCATTTAGTTTTATAGAGTACTTTCTCTAAGTTTAGTACAATGTCACACACATCGTTATGTCCTGGGCAGTGGCGGAGGAAGAATCAGATCCTTCACTTAACTAAAGTTCTAATACCATGCTGTGAAAATACTCTGATACAAGTCCTGCACTGAAAATGTTATTTAGATAAAGTATGTAAGTTTAATGAGAAAATATTTACTAAAAGTATTAAAGTAAAAGTGGCCCCTAAGAATATATATTAGACTCATGCATTAATATAAAAGCAGGATTTTACTGTTGCAGTTGGTTGAGGTGGAGCTCATTTTTAACTATTTTGCACAGGACTTTGGAACTAATTGATTGATCATTTTTAATAATATTAATTATGAATTAATCTGTTGATTGTTTTCTACATTAATCAATTGAATATTTGCTAGTAAAAATTCTGAAAATAGTAAGAAATGCCATCATAATTACCCAGAGCTCAAAGTGACATCTTCACAATGTTTGCAAAAGCCAAATTTCTTTGCTAATCTACCAATGATCTTTTCCCATTACTCAATTAATGTATGTTAATATGTATCAAATGTAATTTCCTTTCATTATTTGATGAGGTAAATTTAAGGTAATGTCTTAAAATGATGATCTGGGGGAAAATGTCTTCAATTTACATTGGTATAAAATCAGCAAGCAAATACCATATTTGATAAATGTATTTTATTTTATAACAGATAGCATCTCTATAAAAGTGGAATAGAAATAAATTATTACTTTATTTGACAAAATTGAATGCATGTTTTATGAAGGCCAATGTGAGTGACTGAGTTTGATTAAATGTGTGCTTTTTAATGTTGACCCCAGTTATCATTTATTACTACACTCAGCCATTAGATGGCAGGACAGTCTTGCAGAGTAGCTGATGTTGCACCTCAGAGTGATCTTGTAATGATCAGGGTCTCCTCTATGTGATCACCCACAGAACGCCAGTGATCCCGGGGCGATCGAGCAGCTCATGGGCTCACTGGACGAAAACAACGACGGGGAGCTGACTTTCTCCGAGTTCTGGCAGCTGATCGGAAAACTGGCGAGCAAACAGGGAGGCTTCAGTCAGTAGAGCTCGCCATCCTCTGTCAGTTGTGGCTTTGAGCAGATTGTTGCAACACCAATCAACTCAATTTAAGCTGTCCAAATTCAAACTCAAAGGCATTCACATCCTTTTATCACTCCACCAGTCCCACATGTGTAACTCTTTAGTTAACCATTTGTTGAATGCAGGGAACTTTTGAATTAAAGGCTTCATTGTCTTCAGCCCTCAGCAACCAACACTCTGTCTCCTGTCATTCATTCACCACATTATATGATGTCCAGCCGTCCACATTTGAGTGGGAGTGTATTACAGCCTTGATTTAGGGCCCTGTAATCCTATATGTGTTGCTGCTGCCACAGCTTCACCATCCAGACCATATCTTGTTCCATAGAGCTTCATAATGCCTGTGCAAAGCTGCCTGTCCAAGCGTTAAGCAGCTGTGATGCAAAAACATGGTCTTCCTTGTCTGTCAATGAGGCCTCAGTAGACTGTGTAATGGGGATATGTGGACCAAATATAGCAAGTTATGTTTGGGAGGACTTATTGTTTTTGCAACATTTGGGACTTTGTAGTTTAATTGCATTGTGCTTGTTTAGCTGGTAATTCTTGCTGTAACGGTCACTTTGTGTTAATTCTGATGTCTAGACAGAGTTATGTGTGCTGGCTTGCTCCCCAGCTGTTTTATAGCCTATAGGCCTGTTTTAATTTTGCAAAAGAGACAAGGTGCTGCTAACTGATGTTGAAAAACGCGGATCTCTCGACAGATAAGAAAATGTGACCTTTGTATCCAAATTACACATGCTAAGGTGCCAGTGTGGGAGGGGTGGTGACGGGCAAATGAGTCAGCAGCAACAAAGTGAGAGGCAAAAAGAGCTGGGCACCCATGTAGGCTGTGTCTGTCTGTATGCGGAGGTCTCCTTAGTTGGCAGTCAAGAGCTTCCCTAGATAACCTCAATGTGGAGGCTTGTATCTCACTTCATGGGAATGACCAGTTATGAGATTTAATCTGTGGAGGGAATTTAAAAATAAAATACAAAGACTTGAAAGCCCTTTCAAAAATCTGGCAAGACTGCTTTGCCTCTTGCACCACAGTTGCCACCCACACTGGCTTTCCTTTAGTATTTTGACTGAAGATTCCTTTATTCTCAAATTTCCAGCTGTGTCAGCTGAAGATTGACCCTCCATCACAGCCAACGTTTTAATTGTCTTTTGTAGCTGAACAGGGGTGATTTTGTTCATGTTAGTACCTTTTCTTGGTGCAAAACACAAGTGTATTTATATCCTTTTAACACATATGTGAGTTTTGAGACATATAGATGTGTAAAAGAAAAAAGAAAGAAAAAAATGACACATCCTCCCTAAAAAGGATTGTAAGATTCTGGATAATAGCTATACTTTCAGTTTTTTTCTAAATCTACATTTAATAAGTGAAATACTTCTGAAAGCCTTGTGCAGATGAAGTAATCCCACCCGCCCTGTGTCCTCGTCCACGCAGATGAAGCCGCTCCAAGCCACAAGCCTAGCGAGTTGGCGTGAAACTGTGCAAATCACACATGACGTGAAACAGCTGGCCCATGAGCCAAAGATAATTCCAATAAAAACCCAACTATAAGTGTTTCGATACACTTTTTTGACTCCCTTTTTGCTGAGAGTTAGAGCCGCGCTCTTCCACATTCCCACTTCTCCCTCTCACTCTTCCAGGTACACGCCCTTTGACTTGTCAGGGAAAAGTTTTAAGGAAAGAGAGAAAAAAAAAAAAACTAAATCACGGAAGAGATTCTGCTGTCCTACTAGTTTGGCAAGTTCTCTAGGCTCAAAGCGGCGTAGAAAAGGCGGAGAAGAGGGCAGAAACTCAAATTTGCGCACATTTATACACATCTCTTTTCCCGCAGACTGTATACGGTGAGTTGGACGCGTCTTTCTGGGCTCTTTTGTAGTTTCTCCTGCATATGAGCACTGCATTTGTTCATCGTTTTTGCCACGTTTCGACATACTCTTGCAAGAGCCATCCCATGAAACTTGGCCGTCGTCTGACTGCAGGACGGTTTCAATGACTCCAGCCCTCAGATGGGGTTTAGACTCACGTTGCACTTTTAGAAAAGAGTAAATAACAACAGTTGGCGGCTATTTTGCTTCTGTTTATGTTTACTTTACTCGGTTTTATTGACCGTGTTTGATTGCCATATGCTCTCTCTCTCTTTCTCTCTCTCTCTCTTTCTCTCGGAAAGATATTTGATATTTTGATGTAGATCAGTTGTCAAGTTGCCGATCAATTGCAAACAGGCTATCAAAAATTGAAGTGACTTGAGGTGACAAGAGTGTTTGAGCTTATGTATAGTATATCCGCACGGCATCCGGGTGGCGTGTTAACGCGCAATTGTGCGCAAGATCGATATTTAGCGCACATTATGCCTTTTATGAAGGAGGCCCACCAGAGTGACAGCTTGGCTCACCGAGTGGATATCCCTTATGACAACTTATTTCAATACTGTTTGTCGATATTTCAGAGTGTTTGTGGTGTTAATGGAGATGCGTCCTGGTAAAATCTGATGCCCGCTGATGGTGTTGTTGTGCGCGCTCCTCAACGTTCATTTGTCGGTATTTTCAGACCTAACTGAGAGGGTCGGATGAAAGACAGCCACTGTGCGTCTGCTCACCGCAATTTACAGCCACAACCTAACTTGTTCCTCTGTTAATATTTTATGCCACACGAGCGGTAGTATTGTCATTACTCTGCGCACATACCGTATCACATTCGCCCATTTGGAAACGCAACACTCAATCTCCTTTGGGCTCTGGAGGGAAACGGGAAACCTCTGGTTGTAGGCCTGTATATTTAATTATTTGCGCAGTTGTTGTTTTTTTTTTTCTGGCCTTTTAGGACGAATAACGGGGATTAGTTTGTCTCCTGAGTGGGACAAGATAAAGCTCTGACGTGGGGCAAGTCTTGAGTTCATTTGTCGAAATTAGGGCACGTGTTGGGACTCTTTCCAAGCAGGCAATACCACCTTAAGTGAGGTCTCTAGGTAAATAATGAACGTGAGAATGGACAGAAATGTCAAACCAAGTATAGAAAAAGAGTCTGTCTCGAGGGTTTTTTGGACAAGACGCACGGAGAGCCGTTGAGGCCCTTGTGTACACAGGCTGCAGAGGGTGTGCCACCTTGCAGGAAGAAGTCCCTAAAAGTTCCTATAAAACACAGACAGTATCTATAATAATGCAAAAACTGTCAAAATATGTAATCCGGATATGGAAATTAGAAAACATAAAATAAAAATGAATGTTTTTTTAATCCATGCTTATAACATTTATGTTGAGTGATAGCTGTGTTAATCAGATGTGATATACTCACTCTACTACATGCAAACCTGTGGTTGTATTGTGCTCATGTGCTGGCAAAGCAAAATGACAGTTAGAGATCAGTAGGTCATTGAGTATGCCCTAAAAGGGGGGGTTGAGTGAAATGTAAGGTTTTAATGGCCCTCTGCTCCAGTGTCAGAGCTCTCTGTCTCTCCTGGTATAATGAGACTAACAGGCACATGCCCTAATTAGCCATATATGCTTGTGGTGGCAGTCATACAGAAATTGCTTTGCTGAAAGGCGCTTGAGTGTGACATTCACTTAAGTAATTGAGATATTAGTTTGCAAATGACCACTCGGCTGACACAAGCATGCCGGCATCCTGTTGAGACAAGGGGTGTTGACAAGACAAGTTTACCAATGTAAACTGTTGTTTGCGCTCCAGCATTTGAATGCTGAAGCTGACAGATGAGTACGGTCGCCTTAAACATGTTCTCTCGCTGCTGTGGGGCAAACTGTCTCGGAGTTGGCCTGTAAATTCCTGTCTAAGTGATCTCCACAGACAGCAATGAATGGAATTCCTGCAAAGATGTGTCACCTACTGGCATGTTTTACATTTTGAGCAATGCCTGTAGACGTCTCTTTTTGATTTATATCACTACGAGTGTGCTACTATCCTTATCATTGTATCTTCATTGTCAAAAGTTATGTTTATTTGTGTACAGTTGTATGAAGGCTGTGGCTTGAGAAGGCAGCAAAATGAAAACTACGATGAGACATTCGCAGGCAAGGGAAGGGAGAGTGGCACTGAAAGAGAGAAGCAGGTACAGCTGGTGAGAAAGACACAAAGAAAGAGAGGAGCAGACAGGGACTAGGTAATCCCTTAGGTAATCTGAAGCCTAGTCCCCTCGGTAGCTTCAGTAGATCAGATGACCTATCAAAGATCAGAACTTCCATTGTGCATCACAGCTTGTCTCTCAATCAGACTCCCTCTCACCCTCTCCACTTATCTCACGTCACCATCCCTCCCTCATTGCAGCTCTAGACTCAACACCTGAAACGAAAGGGCTCGCAGGGACACGAGGAGATCCTCTGTTTCATTTTCCACTGGATGTGCCTACCACATGAATGTGTTTTGAATCAGACCATCCTAGAACTTCCTCTTTTACACTGCACGCAACCACAGCAGTGGTCAGCTGTTTGTGACTCTATCTATCTATCTACCTATCTATCTAGTCTATCCTATCTATCTATCCTATCTATCTATCTATCTATCTGTTTATCCAACACCACTGTCTTGACCTGTCTTCCCCAGAGAGAGGAGTCATGGAGGCTGCCATTCAGACCCTGGTGAAGGTCTTCCTGAAGTCGGCCAAAGGAAAGGAGAGTCTAGGAAAGAAAGAATTCCAGGGCCTTGTCAAGAACCAGCTCTCCAACATCCTCTCGGTTAGGAAAACTTCACTGAACCTCTTTGAAATGTTACCAACACTAGCATTATGTAACCACTTCAAAGGCCATCCTTAACCTGTCTTGGCCTGTCCTGATCTTTTTAACATGAGCACTGTGACCAAATGGTGGTGTAATATACAGTAGATGAACGGGGAAAAGGGATCCAATATAATTGAATGACATTCATCAGCTTTATGATGTAAATAGAGCCACTGATAGAGGGTCATTTACTAATCCTGTATGGTGATTTCATCAGTGAGTCCAGGTAGAGTTACACATCATCATGCTTATTTGTTTCATGGTTGTACCCAGGACACAGACAGCAAAGAGGCGGTCAACAACATGGGCCAGGGACTGGATGCCGACCAAGATGGCAAAGTTGGCTTTGAGGAGTACATGAAGCTGGTCGGGTACCTGGCGGTCTCACTCAGCGACCAGCGTAATCTCGCCAAAGAGGAGCCTGCCCAAAATTCTGCATCCGGTCAAGTGGCGCAGTCAAGTGCCCCGGACAAAGAGGAGAAGAAGCCAGAGGCAAACGCAGGAGCAAAAGAGGAAGCAAAGCCAGAGGCAAATGTGGAGGCAAAAGCGGAAGCAACTGCTGAAGTAAAGGCAGAAGCCAATGCAGACCCAAAGGTAGAATTAAAGGTAGGCGCAAAGGCAGAGGGGGCGACGGAGCCTAAGGCAGCAAAGGTGGAAGAGAACCCAGCAGCAGCGGCGATGGCGGCGGCAGTAGAGGAATCAGCATCAGCAGTGGAAGTGGCTGTGAAAGAAGTGGTGGAGGAAACAGAAAAGGTGGAGGAAGATGCGGAGAAGCTGGCTGCAGCTGTGGAGGAAGAAGTGGAGAAGAAGATAGAGGAGGCGACCTCATAGGGGACAATCCATTCCATCACAAAAAAAATTACACTACACGCTTACAATCAACACTACACAAAACACAGCATTAATGCTAAAAGAAGTTGGTAAGCCACTAAAGAGTTTTTTTTAATTCACACAACTTTGAAATACAAAATATCAGTAAAAGTTCAAACACTACAATCCCAGCTCTGAAGAAACCCCACTCCTTATGATAAATAATACATCTACATGACAGAATTATTGCTTTGTACTACTAGTTACCACTATGTTCATGTGTACAGCATGTGCATCCCACTATATAGCACATTTACCTCATTACGATAATATACTATGATAGCATGCAGACGTACACTATCATATGCATGCCATATCCCTGTGAAAACCTAACTGCAAAATATAATTTACCTGCAAAGTGTCACTGTATGTTAACACACCACTGCAGCCAAGATGTTTAGTTTAAATCCCCTGCTCTCCCCACTTTTATCTTTATCTGGGTCTCTTCTGCAACTCTACTTACTGTACATTGGGCTTTGGTAAAACATCAGCAGTGTACATCTTGCTATGCACTAATGTTTTAAAAAAATAGTTGGACATTTTGGGAAACACACTTATTAGCTTTCTCACCAAGAGTTAGATGAGACATCTAACACCACTCTTATAGGTCTCCACTGAATATGAAGCTACAGCTAGTAGCTGGATAGCTCGAATTAACATGAAGCTCACCTGTATCTGTTCGAAGGCAAAAAACCTGTCTACTAGCACATCTTTAGTTATATCTGGGCAGTTTTAATCTTGTTCACACTTTGGTTTTATATAACGAGATAATTTATGAGCTTCAGAGGTGCTGGACGTGGATTTTGTTGCCTTTAGACAGAGCCAAACTAGCTGTTTTCCTAATCAGCTGCTGGCTGTAGCTTAATTTTTACCACACAGATAAGAGAGTAGTATTAATCTTCTCTTCTAACTCTTGGCAAGAAAGCTACTAATATCCCAAAATGTTGAACTATTCCTTTAATGGTTGCGTGAAAATCTGTCAAAACCCTATATACATTTTTTACATTAATTTTTTACATCTTTTAACTCACCATGCTATGGAGCTGATTTGGCATGACAATAAACAAATTGTTTTGCTGGAGCTTTGCATTAATTCAGCTCATCTCAGTTGTGTACTCAATATCACATCACACCCTCTTCTTTCTCTCTTCCTAGTCTACTTCATGTGCTCTCCTCTTTCTTTTTTTCCTAAATTTACAGAGGTTCACTTCATGTGGATCCTACAGTATGTTCTCACTCAAAGTCAGCCATGGATTAGGAGCTAGAAGATCAGGTGTGTCCCTTGGCTAAATAATTAAGGTTCAAGAGTGGAATCCACACCAAAGGACCCTTATGGTCAAGAAGGGAGCCCAAAATAGTCCCATGGGAGTGGGCTGGTGACTAGAGGAGCAGGTCAGAGAAGGTGTTCATGCAACCTAATCTACCTGGATTAAACCTGGTAGAGAAGAACAAGATAACAAACACCAAAAAAAAAAAAAACATAACAGGTGTCACTCGGTGGCAGTTATCTCAAGTATTTTTTGATGCAGGTTTTTACTTTTTGATCCATGAAGGTGCTGGACGGTACATTATCACCTGGTGGTATACTGGATTGGAGTGACAGAAACTTGACCTTTGTTTAAGAGGCTTTCTTTAAAATTGCTTATTGTTTCTCATTGTTTTCTGCTGGTCTTAGCACCACTTGTTCAGGCTTGCGTGTTTGTGTGTCGGTCACACCCTCATACAGTTTAAAGACCCTGTTTGACCTGCAACTGGATCCTTGAGTCCCAGGCATTGGGAAACTACTGGATTAGGCATTTGATGGGTAACACACCCTGGGACACAAACAATTACATGAAAGTAATCCCGGGCTCCGGTGATCCTGCCCATCAGATGAGGTGGTACTGTCAGAGAGATCAGTGTCAGAGGTTGTGCTTATTTTAGAAAAAAAAAAAGAATACTGAGCCATCAATATGAATTTATGTGGTGTGATCTTTTACAATAAGACGCAATAAGGCGTTGCATGCTATCGGAAACTTATTTGCTAGTATTACCATTTTATTGCAGTTATTGTGGCCAAATATTTAAGTATGACACGGCCTCTTTATATTTAACTCTTTCTTGTTTGGGCCACTATGGACACTTGAAAATCTGCTTCTTTCACATGTCACATTATATGCAATTTGTTAATTACAATTTAATGATTTGTAAATTGTCTCATCATCAATAATGCAGCCATGAGAAAAAGGCTCGTGTTGCAGGCCTGCTGTGTAACAGGACTGCCTGGCCGGCCGCATGGTGCTTAAGGCACACACATTTTGGGCACACTACCAAATGTGCACCTTATGCAATGTAACAGCACCTGGCACTTCAAACTGCTCAGCAGCAAAATGGGCAAGACAAATAAACCTGAGTCATGTGGTCACCCTGCCTCACTGCGACACTCCCATTGCAAATACTCTCTCATTTACACTCACTCTGCTCAGCCTTTATACTCATTGTACGCTGTGTTTCCTGCATGCTCTATTACTAACACACTTATTATACATTTTGGGCTATTTAGAATATTAATTTTTTCTTTTATTAAAACCTATAATCTTTTTATATCAAAACATTTTCTAATCATGGTACTTCCTGTGAATAATGAAAACATATCACTCTCTTGCACCATCTACAGCCAGCTTTCTGTTCAACATTAACATAGGCCTATATACGTACCATACTGGCAAGCTGCATACCATATTTGCTATATTTGCAGGCCAGGCATGTTTCGTGTATCTTTGTGTTCTTTGTTTGCTCTAAACCAATGTGCACAAGCAAAAGTATGGAAAGAAGAAACTGGATAAAGTGAAAATCATTTTACTGGCATGTTTTAAAATGACTTATCTTGCACTACCAACAGATTCCTGAACAGGCGTGGATTAAACATCATCTGGAAATTATTTTATCGCAGCTAATGCTTTCTTTTAACCTATTTGGAATAGCAAATGGATGGAATGAACTGTTTTCTTTCAGAGAGGTTGAACTGTCTGCCCTGGCAGTTTTGTTACTGTCCCGTAGTGTAAACCCCACCCAACCGTAACTCCATGTAGATTAAAAACATGCTGGAACGAAACACAGCAGATTTGCAGCAGGGAGTGTTTGCATCCAGATTTTCATTGCCACACAATAAGTCTCATTCATTCTTTGACACAGTAGATGAAGATAAAAGCCTGTGTTCTCCCAGTGAAAGTGTACATACACGTTATATGGATGTGCTTTAAAGGCTCATAGGGTCAAAATGTTTTGTGATTTTGGGACCATTCCCAGGATATTGTCCAGGCTGTCATCATCGTGTGTTGATGTACTCTGTTTATTTCTTGCCAAGTACTAGAGGGTGTGTGTGTGTTTAGCAGTTGGACTTATTTCAGTCCACTGTCATGTCCAGTAAACTCCACTATGCTAGTGTTTTAACTTCATATGTAACGCTGTATCATTTTTGCTTATTCTATGTAACATTTGTAATGGCTAATATTGAATAAAACTGTGACGATAACATATTTGTACTTGCCTGCTATGTGCTCGGTTACTTGCAAGATTCCAGTTATCGTGTGTGCGTGTGTGTGATGGAGAGAGGAATGGAGAGAAAGCACCTGCAAAAGGAGAGAGAGAGGGAGGGAGGGAGGGAAGATAGAGAAACAGAAGCAGATACTATGCAAGTGGGTGAAGGAGTTTGGCGGGGAGGGGGGGGAGGAGGGAGAGGGGCAGGTGATATTTAAGCCACTGGCAAACTCTCTCCCCATCCATCTCTGCCTTGGCTCAGTCCCCTGCACCTCTTCAAAGACAAAGGAGGCCCTCCATCAGCACTCAGGTAAGACAGACAGCTTGGGGTATTGCTTCACTGTACTTTCTCCTCTATATCTGATAAAGGTTTCCTTGTAAAGTAAATTAAAGCATTTTATCAGCTGTGTAACTGCAGTAAATAGCAGAAAGACACTGGGTAGTGGGGACTCAGCTGAAGACTTGAAAACTAATTTCTGGGAGTCATTTGAACGTTTTGTTTTTTTCTTGTAAAGCTATGTTAATGTGTAAGCTTTGAGAACAGCATAACAGGAAAGTTATACATCAAAGTGAAGCCAGTAAGGATTTGAAGAAAAGCAGTGAAATAAATTACAATATACTGGCTTTAAAGTATGTTAAATGTATGATTAACAACTCTAAGCATGGCAGGTTTGTACTAAACCATTGGAACACGAGTATATTTAGCCTTTTCTTTTAACCAAATGTTTAATTAAATACGTCACTCAACATGGATATTGTTCCGTCACTAAGTTTACATAATGCATGTTCATTATTACCATACTCAATATTGTGTTACTGACAGCATTTTCGTCTCCATGGTTTCCTATTGTATTGTGTCAGTCAGTGAGACCGTTGACCCCTATAGATTTTCCAGTTAGCTAGCTTTGGTGTCCACTCGCCTCCTCTTTTGTCTCAGCTGCCTACAACTCTGACCTCTCCGGCTACAATGCTCTGAAGCGTGATGAGAAGCTATAACCGGTGACTGACATTAGCATCCCTGTCTCCTTTTATAATAGCTGAGAATAAATCATGCACAGGGAGATTGACAGATTGATTATGTCCCTCAGTATTTTGCATTGCTTAGCTTCAAAATAATGCTACAGACTTTATTTTTTATGTAGTTATAGGAGCCTAGAGAACTTTAAATTTGAGCTTGAAAGCTGAATGTGACTAAGCAAGTGTGGAAGTGAGTGAGTGCCCTCACCTGTATGTACAAGTTAGGGTATATGCTTGCACCTCAGGTTACTCGGCCCCTTAGTTTCTGAATGTGAGTTTTGTGTTTCACTCCTGGTTTCCATTTTGAGTGATAAGGCTGTTACACGATCAACAGATAGAGGATGTCTATACTGAAACCACTTTTCTCTGATACCACTGTTAATTATTACATGCATTACTAATTCAGTTTACAAGAGCAATAACCCGTGGACTATCAAAACAGCTCAAATGTTCCTTTTTATGCAGCACATCAGGTGACACGTAGTATGTTTTTTTTTTACACATTGAGATAGAAAGTCTTCACAATCTAACTCTGCACCATTGACAGTGACTTATCTGTGTCTGTGTGTGTCCAGTCTCTCCACGAGTCCAGCAAAAGAAGCTCCAAGATGCCGGACACAATGTGTGTAAGATTGTTCGAAACGCTTTTCCAATGCTATCCTCCATCTTTCCATCCAAACCTCTGAAATGTAAAACCCAGTAAGGTCACACACACACACACAGTGACCACACACTACTGAAATTAGGGTCAGTAATAGCCTCTGCACTACACGCAGAGCGTTATTCGACCCGTTAGAAATGGGAAAACGTCCCTGCTTTGGTTTCCTTCCATCCATCTATCTACCTGTCCTACTATCACTTTATCTTGGAGGTGGCTTCACCCTTGATTGCTATGTGACCGCACATGCAGTCGAGGCTGGAGCGGGCATTTTGTGGCAGAGTCTGACCTTTTGACCTGATACCTTTCCAGCATGTCCAAGGAGCCCACTTCCAACCTGGAGAGTGCCATGCAGATGCTCATAAAGACCTTCCACAAGTACTCAGGGAAGGAGGGTGACAAGTACACACTGAGCAGGGGTGAACTGAAGGAGCTGCTACTAGAGGAGCTGGGGACTTACTTAGGGGTAAGAGAAGTAGAGGCAAATATGTGATTGTGCACTAACACACTGATGCCGTTTGCAAATATGCGACACATGCAAGTATGCACTCACATACTCAGACTTACAAGTTTGGACAAGCTTGTGCAGTGATGTATGCCCCCACACACATATAACAGAGAACACATTCTTAACT